GAAAGGCGGTGCCGTGCGCGTTTCGAAAGTGGTGCATTCGCACTTGAACGGCGCCGTTTCGGCGATCGAGGCGATCGAGGCGATCGAGACGACCGGCCCGGAGTGTACACGCACGCCACGGGGGCGAGCATCACGCTGCGCTTTTAAACATTAACACGCCGCGCGTGCATTTACGCGCGAGGCTCCGCGCGACCGCTCCTAACCGACTCTCGTGCGCGCTTAGCGGTACGCGTCGCGCTTCGTTACATTCTCCGCCGGTGCCGGTATCGATATCGGATTACCGGTTAATTGCTAACGTAGCGTGTTCTCGCCCGGGGAGATCGCTGCTCCCGAGTTTGCGCCTCGAAAACGTTCTCCCTCGAGGCCAACGGCTCCGACCCTCTGCGATCATCGACTGGTCCCTTGCGCGTTCTCTTTCGCTACATACTTTTTACTCGCGCTCAGTCGAACCTGCGAACGAACTCGGTTGTACCGCGAATTTCAAACGGCGATAAAAACAATAGAAACGGGTCCGATCATCACGCCGTAGCTCCGTTGCATCGCTACTTGTCTTTAACACGTTCGCCAGCTGCATCACACATTTGTGACGGCCGTAATGCTATATTTTACATAATGAGAATGAAATTAATCCTGTAGATATTGTTATTAGAAATTAGAAATTACGACATTGTATTTAGGAACTCAATGACTCGTTTCAGTTTCATTTTTTAAATATTTTGTTTACATTTATTGGATTGCAGAAAATATTCTAATTGAGACCGTCACCGAAATATGGTAGCGAACGTGTTAACCTTACTGTTGAGGTCTACAGGCGCTTTACAAATTTGTTTCGGCGTACTTTTGGTGCCTATAGGCGCTCGTAAAATGTTATTGACAATAATTATAACAAAGCTCGCTTGGAACGGACGTAACTGAATTCTGATTCGACAACTGTGTCTTCTGTTAGTCGTATGAGTCGCTCAGAAGGCAATACTGGTTGAGTCGAGAAAACGAAAATTCAGAGAATTAATGTTTTGACTTCTGAAATTATTATACGACATATTCAGAAGCTATAAAAAGCTTTATGACCTCGAGAAGCGAAGAAACGAGTAAATCCTGTAATAACTAAAGGTAGTATTATGAATTCCATTAAAATTTACAAAAATCTGAAGACATCAAAAAGTCGACTTAACCGCGTTAGCTTCTGAGCGACTCATATATTATTCAAATGTGATTATTTTATACTGGTTTAGTTTAGTTCATTGCAATGTTTTGATTGTTCCAATACACTCTTCAAAATGTCGTAAAATTCCAGTGTTCTCAGGTTGCAATTGATCTTCAGCCGCATGCAAAGAGCTGTACGCCTCAAAACCCGCCGTGACAAAGGGTTTTGAGATTAATTGACATTCGCAATTAATCCCGATCCGATGTGATCGACCCGTCTATCGTTCGATCTACTTTTTCGGCGAGAGTGAAACAAATATCCGCGGAAACGATGCGGGTAAACGATGCTCCCGCGGAATGTAAAAAAGTAACAGCTACAGAGCGGCCACTGTGGATCGTAATCGAATGCCCATTAACGGAGCCTGTTCCCGTCTTCAACAAAGGCATATTGTCCACGGGAAAGTCGCCGCGCGAGGCTTCGACCGATTCCTCTCGCTTCGTCGAAC